CAGTTTCACAGCCTCAGATGCTGCAGAGAGAACTCAAAGACAAGTTTTAAGGTGTCTTTGTTGTTTAGAATATCAGTGCTGTCCTGCGAGGAAAAACAAGAAATTCAGTCATCACTGGGGCATCATGGCAGCTGTTGTCGTGGAGACAGAAACGCAGTGAGGATAATAGCTGGAGGGGCTTAGCGTTGCAGGCCACCTGCCACAGCATTAGTTGTTTGTGACAGGCAGTGTGTGTTTGCAGGAGTCGAACACGCTGGACTGAGCTACAGTCAAGGCAGGCGGTAAAGTAGAATAAGGAGGACAGGGCACACAAAGGGCTTAACATAACCTCATGTTTAAGACTCTTGTAAGGGATGAAACTCTTCCGACCTCCATTGCTATACATATCACCTCTACTGGAGCTAATCCTAAAGGCCTCTGTGAGGTCAGAGCACACTGATAAGCAATTACATCACAGAAACTCCAACCAAATGACTGGGTGTAAAACCGTATTTAGATTGCATTCATTTTAATTATTTTTAATAGAAAATGATATGATAGAAATTGCTTACTTTTTAATTTATTTGTATTTTATTTCTGCAGTTTTTGACACAGTTTATTGTCATCTGCAAGGTGGTGCTGTAGCACCTTCAGCACCTCTAGTTTCCACAGCCTTGTCTCGAAGACTTATTCATTTTTACAAATTTTTACACATTGCTGAATCATCACCAATGTGAAATAACTAATTTAAAACAGATTTTACAAAATGCATGTGCCACGAAGATTCTGGAGGAACACCCTTTGGACAAATGAGACAAAAATGGAGCTGTTTTGGCAATAAGTTAAATCACCTGCATGTTCACAGACAGAAATAAAACAATAAAAGTAAAACAGAACCAACAGTGAAACAGGAAGGCGGGTTGGTCATATTCAGATTTGCTGAATTTGACATAGAGTGTTATGTATATGTGAGGAGAACAATGAAAATCTCAAGACTATCAAGGCATCCGGGGGCAAAATGTGCTGCTCAGTGTCAGACAGCTTGCTCAGGTGCAGGCCTTGGGTCCTCCATCAGAATATTGACCCAAATCACACAACTACCCAGGATTATTATGAGGGTTTCTTCTGAGCCCCGATCAAAATCCTGTTGAAACACGTAGCCTGGAGAAGCTAGGGCAGTTTGAGATTGTCCAAAACGTGCAACATATTATTCGGTTTGGGAACTATCCTAATTGTTTAGTTTCAGTAGTTTTTAGTTTATATTAAGTTGAACAATCCAAAAAACAGTGAGTTAAATTTTAGTAATTCTTTTCATCAGAACTTTTGCATCACTTTTGTCAATTTCAAGTTATTTCAGTGACGAGGATTTTTTTCTTTAACAAAAGGATAAACACAAATAAATAAACATATAAAAATAGCCACAAACTACATTAACAATGCTATACAAGAGTGTAGAAGTTTACCTGACTAGCTAGCTAATGCTAATATAGCATTCTTTTATACTGATATATAAATATATTTTTAAATATAAATAGGTTTGTCTTTTATGTTGAGTTGGGCAACATCGGCAAAAAAATTAATCATGATAAATTGTGGTATTTTGCCGATAACAATTAATTTGATGATTAATCCCCTGGAGTCCCTGGACCCCCTTATGTCCTAGTCACATGACCAATTTAGTGGGAAAGATTTGCTCTTCGTAAGAATCTGTTCCAAACTGTGTCAAAATTACAGATTTCAGGTCATACATCAAATTTTAAAATTCTGTTGATAGATAAAAAAATTACAGAACTTTGAAGTGGAGAGGAGCATCGAGCGGACTCTGCCTGGTGGCATTAATCGTATTAATCGTCAAGTGCCAAAAAATAAATCGATTAATGTTTTTCTGACTATTAATTGCACACGATATGATTACGCCCAACCCTACTTTTATGCCTGAAAACTGGCACTCATTTGGCTAGCCATTAGCCTAGCCCAGAAAGATATTTTTGCCCTTTCCCTCCAAATCTGTACACTCTGAACTCACTGCCTATAAGGCACTATTGATAACCGCTTCAAAAATGACCAGACTATCCCTTTAAGTCACACAAGCCTTCTGTGTGTTTTCTCAAGCAGCCTAAGAGGAGTCTGCACTTTATCTGGGACAGGGTGACATTTTCATTAGGATTTGTAGGTCAAGAGTCACCCCCCAGAACAACAATCAACTAATCTTTTTTTTTTTCGGTGCGTGTAAACGTGTCTGGACCGAGGTTCTGAGTGGTGCACAGATGTAGCTGAGCTTCAACAGGACTGCTTTTCCTCTCCACTGATGTCCACTGCAGCTCCTCTCCATCTGACTCTAATTACCTTGTCTGGTTAGAGTTGTTTAGGGGCACACGAGATTGTCATCCTAAGTGTGTTTGCGCTGACAGTGATCTCTATCTGAGTTGCTGCAATAGGCCTAATTAGGTTATCAGATAGTAAACAATCCTGCTACACTGCTCCAGTGTGGAGCGAGACAGATCATCTGTATTTTGTGGGATAAAGATGCAGTAGATTCACAATTATATCATCCTATACAGTGACTTATTTATTTTTTATCCTTTTCTTGTAGTTGTTGTTGTTGTTGTTACACAGTTTCCCTCAGTACCAGCTCAGCGATTGTTTTTGTTTAGCGTTTTTCTTCTCTGTTGTCACCATAAATCAAATGATTTATAATCTCAGCCTCACAGAATCCTAAGGTTTTTTTTTTTTTACTTTGGGGCATTACGTCGCTAGAGTGGCTTTGAATGACTGCTCACTTTACCAAAGAACACTGGAACAGATGCTCCTCACAAGGCCCTGGATGCGAATGGAAACGTGAACGTTTGCAAAGGAACAGCGACACATGATCTATGCCTGCGCAAGACATCAATATAAACTGGAGGTTTGCTTTCACATTAAAGCTTATATCACGTAGAAAAACTACTGTTTTGTGTGATTCTCCACACAGGTCTTTCTGAATATGGACCACTCAGCCTCTACAAAACTACAAAAGGAGGTTTTGAAAAGTCTGAAACTGTGATAGTTGCAGAAAACAAAGACCTAGCAGTCTCTAAAGGAATGCATATTACTCATTGCCTTTCATGTCAGAGTTCTCAGCTGAGATCACATAAAACATAGAGGAAGTGGTGGCACAGAGGTTACAGAAGGTGAGCCTGTGATCAGGTCACCAGTTGAACTCCCCGGACCAACCAGCCACATTCGCCTTGAGCAAACTCCTCAATAAACTATATACAAAAAATTAGATCACCTTATATTGTGAAATGATGGAGCCATTTTGATAAACATTATGGAGTTTAAGTACATGTTACAAAGGACTCAGCTGCTGCCACAACCAGGTTTATTTCATTATCTGGGAAATTAACAGAGTTATCGCAGTTTCAAAGTTTTATCGGATTCTCACTAAATAACAAAAGAAGAATCAATTCTTACAAGTGTAGAAGCACTGAAAATGTCAAGAGAAAACTGCTTTTTTACAGACATCCGGTAATTTATTTGAAAATGTTATAATCAGTCAATTTTGCTAAAAAATAATTACAACAATTAAACAAAAACACAGTAAAATAAGCCTTAATGTCAGTTTGAAGAAACAAAGATTTTAAGACAATGAAAACAAGCCTTAAATCTGACTGATTTAATAGACTGTAAATAAAAGCAGGAGAAGATAATAACTCTTATCAGTGTAATTAGTGCTTCCTGAGGGCAAACGATGCTCCTTCTGTGCTTGATACAATCCAAACAGCGCCAGAGCTGAATTAGGCAAATTGGGCACAGGGAGTCGAGTGAAAATCTCTGGGAGTTCTTTGTGCAAATATTTTCACTTCTGTTGTGATGGGGATGTCAGACAGCAGTCAGCCATGTGAACCCTGGAAGCCGGGAGCTCCTCAGGACTTCCTGCCACGTCCCTGTAATCCTGGCACTGAGCGAACACGTCGCAGTGAATGTTGTCCCTGAGTGCCGCTCATTCCCTGATTAGATCTGTCACTACGGTGCAGCTGGAATAGACATTTAGTGGTTCTATTTTAGCTCGGTGACACAGCTGATGTATTTTGGACTTTGCAAATCTGAGTAAGTGGATGATGAATTTGTCCTCCAGACAAAGCAGATCGCTGATCAGAGTAAAAGGCATTTCTCAGAGCAGGTGGAAAGAGGCTTGTAGAGCTCTGTGAGTAATCCTGTTGACTTTTGCTTTTGGAGCAGGGCAGCAGGCTGAAAGGCTTGGCATCGCCAGAAGAGGAGGATCAATTCTCCCTGAGTTAAAAGTGCAGCAGCACTTTGCTGGCCATACAAAGACCATGATGATGCACAATCCTCCTGACCTTCACACTTTCTGTTGTGCTGTTTTGCAAGTTTACTTTTAAGGCCTTAAAGACTCTCATCACACAGGTTCTCTCTTTTTTAGCAAGGAAATTTCCATTTTTGCTTTTTTCTTGTCACCAAACGGCAAAGGCAGACAATCATGTTGCTTATCCCTGTAATTGTAAGTATGACTCAGCCCACTGTGAGCAAAAGGTGGGAATCAGGGCCCCAACGATAACCAACACAAAGAGGGAACAAAAGACAAAAACAAGGGACGTCGAGCCCCGCTTGCACTCACTACATACACATAACATGACACCTAAGAGCCACAGCATCCAAACCAATAAGTCAGGTGATAGGGCACATGACTCTCTATAAACAATAGAGCTAATCAAGCCTATTGTTAGGCTATGGCCCTCTTTTGCATGTGACTAACCTGTTTGTCCAGGTGGAGGCAGTGCTTATAAGGCTGAGTTCACCTGAAACTCAGACTGAAGAAGTCTCTTGGAGGAGAGACTAAAGAAGAACCCATCCAGAGGACAGACTTATTTCTCTTTTTGATTTTTTTTCTACCTGGATTACTGAGATGCATCAGGACAATCATGTTGCTTATTTCTGTCTGTCTGTGTGTGAGCATGCATTAACTGATAAACTACAACACTGACTCCTTGCTGCTCTGTCTTTATCCCCCTCTTTTTTAGGAGAACCCATATTTGTGTAGTGATGAGTGTGACGCCTCTAACCCGGACTTGGCGCACCCTCCTCAGCTGATGCAGGACCGTGAACGCAACGGCCTCATCACCTACTGGCAGACGGTCACCTGGAGACGCCACCCAGAGCCCCTGCTGGCCAACATCACCATGTCCTGGAACAAGAGTCTGGAGCTCACGGACGACATCCAGATCACGTTCGAGTACGGTCGTCCCACCATCATGGTGATGGATAAGTCCATGGATCACGGGCGCTCCTGGCAGCCTTACCAGTTCTACGCCGACGACTGCCTGGACGCCTTCAACATGCAGCCCAAGCGGGTGCGCGACCTCTCACCCGCGAACCTCACGCGGGTCATCTGCACCGAGCAGTACTCGCGCTGGGTCGGCTCCAAGAATGACAAGAATGTCAAGTTCGAGGTGAAGGCACGCTTTGCGGTGTTTGCCGGACCTCGGCTGCAGAACATGGACAACCTGTACACCCGCATGGAGAGCATGAAGGGCCTGCGGGACTTCTTCACCTTCACCAACCTGAGGCTGAGGCTGCTGCGGCCCGCCCTCGGAGGCACCTATGTCCAGAGAGACAACCTGCTCAAGTACTTCTACGCCATCTCCAACATCGAGATACCTGCTAGGTGAGGGCTCGTTTTGAGCACATGTTTGCTGATGTTGACACAAATCACATCTTTTTAGAAAACCATTTAATTAAAATTAGGAGATAGTTTAGACCTTTAGAAGTGGGGTTTGAAGAATAAGTTAGAAACACCCAATTTCACTCTAATGATATTTCAATTTTGTTTCAAACTGAAGTCATTCAAAGAGTTATTTACAACAGGTAATACAGTCATTAATTTTTTTCTCACACAATCTAATTGTAAAAATCTGAAATATCGCTTAAAAAAAACCCTACCTGTGGTCAAATTTACTTGTGGTCATTTTAACATGAACTGCGTGCACTGTTTAAGATAAAGTTGCTGTTACAGTAAGACAAAGTTAGACACTGTATAATTTATTTATTCCTTCATTCTAAGAAATTCTCTACGGCAAGGATTAATTATAATAGAAAATTTAATAGAATGTTGTACAAGATTAAAATAAAAAAATCTAAATTTCAGGTTTCAGCTTTTATTCAGGCATTCACCCATTCACACACAGAATGGTAAGCTACATTGTAGCCACAGCTGCCCTGGGGCACACTGACAGAGGTGGGGCTGCCGTGCACTGGTGCCACCAGACCCTCTGACCACCATCAGTAGGCAAGGTGGGTGAAGTGTCTTTCCCAAGGACACAGCGATTGAGATGGCTGGAACGGGGGATCGAACCAGTGACCTTCCAGTTACAGCACCACTCTGCCACAGCCACCCAGTAGAAACAATGTTAAATAAAATAAATTAGACTAAATCCATCTCCAACCACTGATAATGTGACATATAGGTATGTTGGGATTTTTAAAGGCACATACTAAGAATAGTTTTCCTTATTGTAGAGTTGTATGCTGCATGTTTATTCTCTCTCTGAACTACATGTTTGGAATTCAACATCTGTTTGCAGTGGCCACCTGGGGCTCCAATTTTACTGTACACCATAGACATTTATTCATAACCACATAACATTTACAYATAGGGACCTGGGAGTGGGCACATGCATGCCGGGGCGGGATGGGACAGTCTCGCCACGGAGGACTGTGCCCACTCACACTATTTTCHTTAGACACTTAGGGTGGGGTTGGAGCTGGGATGGAGGGGAAACTGGCATAGTGCTGGCCTCTGCCCTGTCTTCTTCCCCATTTTAATTGCATTATAGTACATCACACATCAACAGTACATCTGAGGGTGGTGGTGTGTGTGTCAGGGTCGTCTTTTTTTAATTTAATTTTTTACTCCCCCGTTCCCCGTCTGGGGA